GTACTTGTAATAAGTCAAGAATTTACTGTCGAAACAATTACTTTAATTGACAGCGGAGCATATATGAATTATATAAAGGCAAGATTAATTACAACTAAATATTTTGAAAAAACTACTCAGTCAGTAAGTACAACTGATGATTCAAAATTAAATATAAACTTTAAACTTTCAAATATTTATATATGTAATAAAGGAATTTACATTCCTTCTACTTTCATGTTGATAACAAATTTAAATCAATTTATAATTTTGGGAACACCATTCTTATCTATGATTGAACCTATAGAGAGAATTTATACTACTAATAAAAGTACCTTAAGTGAAAAACTTTTGATTCACTATTTTACCCTCATAGAAAATTTTAAATACCATACTATCTTTCAATAGTCAAATATCTAAATTACAATTACATCCTTATGTATTTAAATTTTCAAATTACCTTCTAACATCTCTTTTAATTCTCTATTATCTTTGTATAAATATCAATATCTATGAAAAAATTTAATTGACTACATTACCCTCAAAAATATATATGTATCATAATAGTTTTCTATAAAGTGTTCAAAAACTTCATCAATATTTCATTACTCTTTTCAAATAAGAAGATAACATTGTGCTTATATACATGTATTTTTTTTCCATATATACTACTAATAAAGAATGAAACTTTTGCCTTAATATGAAAAAATTTTGATTCACTATTTTACTTTTATAAAGAATTTTAAATACCATATTATCCTTCCGTAGTTGAATATCTAAATTACCATCATATATTTATGTGTTTAAATCTCAAAATTATCCTTGACATCTCTATTAATTCTCTATTTACTATATATAAATATCAATATCCATGAAAATTTTTAATTGATTTCGTTAGTTTTAAAAAATATATGCATCACTATAATTTTCAATAAAACGTTCAAAATTTTTTCAAAAACTTCATCAATATAATATTACTCATTTCAAATATAAAGATAACATTATGTTTCAAAATGTGTAATTTTTTTATTCAAAATTTCAACTATTTTATTTTTTAGACAAAAAATAATTTTTTACATATTTTTTAAAATAATTTATGTTAAATCAACATAATTCTTCAATCAAAGTAACATTTTCATGTTTTATTAAGGGGTTATATAAAAAACATGATAGTGTATTTTTAAGTAAAATTTGAATTTTATAATTTTAATATTCTTTTAAAATATATATTATAAATTTATTATAATTTAGAGTTAATAGCACTTTTAGTCCCTAAAATATGCATGTTTTGACAGTTTGGCCTTTATTGTATCAATTTCATCAATTTGGTCCCTAAAGTATTTAATTAATGTTTAAATAATTCATGCGTAGACAGCCTGTTAAATTTTTGACATAAGTGATTACGTGTTGGTCACGTGATATTGTCCGACAGAATGACACGAAATCACTTTCGTTAAAAAACTTAATGGACCTTGTTATGGACCATTTAAACAAGAATTAAAATATTTTACGGACAAAAAATCATAGATTTCAATGAAGGACTATAGAATAAGATAACTATAAGTCACAATTATATGTACAGATCAGATAAAAAGATCAAAAAAATATGTACATTGATATTAATTATTATTCACAATAAAAAAAAATAGATAGACCGAGGGTCATGACTCTTTCACTATGTATTAACTATGAATTATAACATCGTTTATAACATAGTAATATACTTTTCACCTTTTTCTATCCTCCACTATATGATTGTCTGCCGCTGGGAAAGCTGAGCAGACAACGATATCATTTATGTCTCTTAATCTTCTTTTGTTTAACTTAGTTTTTGAACAAGTTCTCTCTCTCCGAAAATGGGACAAAAATCCTCCAATCGTCATACAAATCAATTAGAAAACCTTTTAGCTTCTCTTTCTCACCATCCAGTTTGAAAAAATTTTATCTTCTCTCTCCCTCCCTCTCTCTCTCTCTCAAACACCTCTCCGAAATTGAACAAACCACATCTACATAATACTATTTATTAATATTTTGTATACAAAAATTATTCACGTGCAATGCACGTGATGCATTGCTAGTAGATTTTAAAGGCATATTAACTATCATAAATGGTTAACAAATATTATTTGAATTTATAACTCCACTTCAAATAAAGTTGATAAATCAAATAAAAGGGAATCTGATTTATAAAGGAGAATCAAATAAAGGAACGATAAATACACAAAATATCAACGAAATCTTTTATTTAATGCAAATTTATGCACAAAACACACTTACAGTAGTAGTGGTGGAAGGTAGAAGATAGAGTTTTTTTACAAAAGAAAAGGGTTCAGAGAGGGTGCAAGAAAGGAGAGAGGATGGAGTGGTTGTAGGAAAGAGAGGGTATGAGATGTGGTCAAGATGCAGTGCTCCACAGGTCGAGCCCGCACCCCTTTATACAAAAGCTGGACTAGAAATCCAGATTATAAACTAACTTATACTATTCACAATTTTATATTGTTCATAACTTTAATAATTTACATTGATGTCATTGCATACGTCAGTATTATTATAATTCATTACTTTTATTCATGTACAGTGAGTGATGAATTATGGCCTTGCAATTTGACTAGTTAGGAAGATTTATTTAGGGAAAACATGCCAGAAGTCCACATTTGGAGATTTTTTGGGCTTTAGGTTCAGCTTGAATACTTTTAAGGCCAAAAGTCCATAAAATCATAACTTATAAAAAATACCCTTAACTAAGGTCATTACTTACGAAAACATTTGAGATAACTTTTAAAAAGTGTTTTTAATACTTATGACAACCCTCCTTGTATCCAAGAGATTCTAGCACACCACCGTCTGGATTGGCAGACCATCTATAAAATATAGGAATGAATCAAACTTGTGTTAACATGTAACCAACGCATGAAACAAAATATATCAATCCCTCGCAGGCACCAAGAGACCAAACAAAAACTCAAAATAGATCCATCAAGATAGCAGTAAACACAAACATATGCAACCCCTAGCAGCTGTTTCCAACTACAGATAAGCAAAAGAACACAAGAATGTAATTGCAGCAACTACTAATAAAACTGTACTCCGTTAAAAAATCACACAAGTACAATTTTCCAACAGACCAGCTTACCTACCATAACACTCCAAAAGATTTGTGTGATGATAAGCAATAGTAAGGTTGTACTGGAGAAAGGTAAATCCTCGATCAGCTCCAGCAGGACGCCACTTTCTCACCTCACCTGGCACTCCTTTCAAAGTGCAACAAACATATTCCTATTTAAGGAGTCACCCACACCCTGCACTGTTACAGATCTATAAGGTCTACAAATTGTGTAACACCAAACGCATGAAAATATGTCAATATATAAGTACGTTAGCAAGAACCGAATATATTAATAGGGAATAGACAAAAAACCTTCAAAAATCTAATTTAACATGGATAAATTGTACTCACCGAAGAAAAAAACATGGAGAAATTCAAGAATACAACACTAAGCCATTTGTAAGGAACAAAACAAAATGATAGGGAATCCATTGCTCAGAAAAAACAAGATTGAATAGCATTGCTCTAAAGTTAGTGTTTTCATATCAAATTCATGTTTACTAGGCTTTTTTTAAGTAGAATTTTCTGTATAATCAGGTTAGAAATCAATAAAGACGCGGAGATAAGCGTTTATAAGATATCTTCCTTTCTCTACATTTTCTTAGGAACCAAATAGCTCATTAATAGACTAACACAGAGAGAGTGAGTGTGTGAACGTGTGTGAGAGAGAGAGATGTACCAATACTGATGTCTCTCGAGGAACCGAAGAGGCTCAAATTGTGGAAGATCACAGTGATTGGGCTTCCAACGCCACTTGACTATATCAAGTGCATTCGCTTTTTGACTGCCAATGCAATTCCAACCTTTGTATATCTCGTTACAAGTGTTGTCGTAGCGCGGAGATCTGATCGTTGAATCGTAGATCCACTGTCCATCGGAGTAATCGCACGGTGTGTTCGATGCGTCAGCGGCTTCGAAGTCGAATTCCCGGCGGTGGTGTGGTTGAGGAGGTGACACAAAGGTTTTGAAGAGAGAGAAAGCAAGAGAGAGAGAGGCCAAACAGAGGAGAGAAAAAATGAGGCATTTTTATATCAAATATTATAATGCGACATTTTTATTAAATATTTGTTAATTTTTTTATTAATAGAATTGATTTTTGACAAAAAATAATAGAAACTAACGAAAGTGTCACATTGATATTGTAACACTTTTATTAAGGGTACAATATGAAATTAGAGAGCCCTTTGAAATTGTTCTAATTAACTACTTGGGCCAGTTTGGTCCGATTGTTTAGCTGTTCTTTTAAAGAAATGAAAACTTCAATAGAAAACATCACTTGAAAAAAGTCTCGTGCTGGTGGTCACCATACTAATAATAACATTTGTCGATATATCACCACCTGTTTAATAAGATTTATCTTAAAATTGTGATTTCATATTTTCTTATTGAGGGCCTATTGAGGGCCCATTTCTTTACTAGCATACTTCTAAGAGAACTAAAATACTACTACTCTAAAAATTCATGGTGAAAGAGACATTATTTTGTGATATTAACCTTTAATTTTATATTAATTAAAATTGAGAAGAGTACAATATTTTTGTTTTACTACGCGACGTTTTATTTTTATCACGATTAATATTTATAAAATTAACTAAAAGTCTATAATCACAATCTTTTTTTGGCATGGTATTGAAAGTATTGAATCCCATCATATAAAAGTAAGTAAAAGACCAACATTTTTCATAAGCTAAGCGGCACAGTTTAAAAGATTACTAAAGTTTATGATTAGATTCGATGAGATTATGATTCAAGTATATAAAATTGTGTCAAATTCAATTATATTAAATCGAATCAAGATGATGTTGCCTAAAATCAATCTCAATATTTTAATATCAATTCTAATTTTTTTAGTTATACCTAGACTTTTAATCAAACGAAATTTGGGGAAAAAAATTATAACTTATCCCTAAGGAGTCATAACGTAACTTTCAATATGGTATTGAAATCACATGGCCAATTGCTTCCTTGACAAAACTAGCTCAAAATTCTCACATAGTTGGGATTCTTTTACAACTATCACAAAAATAGATTGAGTTTCAACCTGCCAAAAAGAACTACATTTGCAACTACAAGAATACACTTTTGTGGTGGCTAACTTACACAATTCAAGAAAAACTTAGTGTCTTGGTTGGAATATATAACAAGGCAGTTTGATTTCCAACAATATAATTTAGTCCACTATCATAGTTGAAGAAGCTAATTGGCAACTTTTCACCAAGAAGCCTGTATGATTCTGAGATTTTTAATGGTGTGAATTGAGGTGGAAAACTTGGCAAGCCGGCTTGTACGACCTCTTGGTTGCAGCCTGCTCAAACTTCTTTGTGGAATCTGAATTCTCTTGTAAGCTGGTCTGAACAAGAAACCTTATCTACCAAGATGAGCTCCACAATTTGGCCTTCACAAGAAATACAGAGTAGTCTGTTAAGAGTTGGACATTGGGTATACTTTTAAAGGCAAACTACAAAAGGTCGTTGTCCTCAATTGGACATGGAACAAAGGCAAACAGGAACAAAATCAATTTTTTCAACGTAGCAAAAGCCCCCATTTTCACTCCCTCGATAGGGTTTTACCAAATCAAGAATCATATGTACCCAATCTTATGTTTTCAAGATATACCACATTTTATTACAACATTTACTCTGTTTAAAATTCCTCCCCACAAAAAAAAAAATTCCCCACAGACAATATATTCATAACATCTAAAAACATTCTTCTAAACACCCGCTCAATGATATGATATCAACACCATGTTCTTTTTCATTTTTGAGGTGGCAAATGAGTTCAAGTTTCAACCTCCTAAACTTCCACCCAGCCTTTCGTACAACATCTAAAACACTTTGTGATGCAAGTTAGATTATATTTCACTCACGCTACATTCAGCTGCCAACAATACATAGCAAGGGAAGATTTTTTTTGATAAGCAAAAGATAAGAAATTCAAGATCTTGGCCAAACATTACTTTTAAGAGTAGGATCATTGGTGGATTTTATGCATCGGAAGTTTAAAAGCATTCAAATGCATTAGTTCCAAAAGGAATTTCTGGAATCTATCCAGAATCATACTATCCAGAGATAACTGATGCAATTTTGCTAAAACAATTTTGGCTGTTACTGCTAAATTAGTCAAGAAGCAAACAAAAGTTGGATGTTTATAAAACTATTGTTCAAAAAAGCATAATGTTAAAACTCATTAACAACACATTGTTAAAGTTATCTGCCAGCAAACAAAATAGGACAATGATAACTAAAGTACGAAGTCCAAAATAATAAATCACTTACTGGATGGCCAAATTTGGCAAGCTCTGCCACTTTAGCTGTATGCCGACCGAGATACCCTAAAACCGAAAAGGACATGTCAGCAAATATTATACAATAGGTCTTTGCAATAAGTACAAAAATCTACTAATAAAGCTTTTTAAATATAAAACTTTTTAAGTATGTACTTTTCCAAATCCAATTAATTCCGGACATCAACTAGTCTTTGACGCAAAATAAGAATAAATATGCATAAATTTATAAAAAAAAATAAATATAAAATTGAATTCTTAAGGGATTTACCAGAAAATACGAAAAACACATCAGCAGATACCCTTGCCAATTCTGGAATAGTTTTGTTAAAATACTTTGGGGACAAGTAATCTAACGCATCAGACACTATGAAAAGAGAAACGACTTTGCCCGGTAGGGAAGAGGAATCCTAATGTCAGCCACACACACAATGCCTTTGTGCACAAGAGTCTTGCAGCTGCCATCAGCGTCATCTAACTCATATGGCTCCACACCCTAGGCTTCAGTATCCTCTTCTTGTAATAATTTAGAGACAACTAAACAGGTATCAGGGACTATGTGCAGTTCTCTCGCATTCTATTGCCATAAGCTTTCTTCAAAACAGGTAATGCTCTCTGAACTTCTAATATGCATGAAAGACCACCTACATATGCATACTTCAGATCTTTAGGTTGAAAAATTTTGTTCCATCTGAGAAGTTATTTGCGGATTGTAAAATAATATATAAAACTAGGACCTCAAAAATAATAGATACAACAAGAATTTAACGGTGCTCAACATGTCCAGTCACGAATTGAGCATATCTATTGTGTCTCCTAGCATTTAAATGTTGATAAATAAAAACAATTAAGAATCAGATGTCACCTGAAAGCAAGCATGCCTAGTGTTTGTCCTAACATGGTAAGATTTACATTTTTTCAACTACATGGTCTGTATCATCAAATATCAAATCACACAGATGAGACCTCTTGTAAATTGATACTATAGAAAATAATTTTACTAGTCAAAATAGTTTAAGACAAGAGACGATGCGATAACAGTATGCCTTAATCAAACCTAGATGATATGGCATAAAGGATCAGAAAATGTGAAAACAACGATGATTATATCTAATAGGTATGGCAGTAGTGAGAAAGAAACAAAACAATTCTTAGTGAATGTGAGAGAGTTTCCTAAATTTAATTTTTTATTGTAATTAGACATCATTTTTGTAAACATGGCATTCAGCCAAAAAGGTCACATCTTTCATCTAATAGAGCCACCATACAATAGATTGATAAATTCATCTTCAAATTGAAACACACAAAGAACCAAATTTGCAAAGCAATTAGGTTGAAAACGCACGTTGTCACAATTTTGCTCAGGAACCTAATTAAATCTATTGAATGCTACATGAAGTAACATGTAAAGTTCTTCAGTAAATTATCATATATAGTTAGTTACCTTCAAGCTTACTTAAAGCCTCTGCATTGCTGGCGGTTCCACCGGCATTTTTCGCAGACACTTATAGAAGTTAAGAATGCATCGCAAAAAAAATATTAGTTTTTTCCTTTTTTTTCCTTATTGCAAAAAGAGATAAACTAACACAAATCAACCCATAGGAAAACAAATAATAGATCATACATAGCATACATAGCCAAATACAGACCTGAACCACTATATATATAGCCAATTATCAGGATCGCACCCTGAAAATTTCACAGCAAAAAATCCAAGCTCAACATTTTTCAACTACTAAATTGATACCCAAATCAGAAATTACGTTTAATGAGGTGGTCACAGTAAGAGGCATTGAATAAGAATTGGGAAAAAAGAACAATTTTAATCAACCGTACGAGAGAGAGAGAGAGAGAGAGAGAGCAGAACAGATATATACCATAACGCAAAGTACAAGAGATAATATCAGTCATGAGCGTGATTTGAAGTGCAAAGAGCTCACAAATGGAATGCCTCCACCATCAGGAACCCGTCGAGAAGTGTTAGGCCTCCTCAATATCGTGGATATTGCTATAATCACACTGGTAATGACTATAACTCTGCAAGACCTAGTATTAACTGAAGTGAATATTAGAGATTGCAATTAACCTAATTTGAATAGAGAAGAGAGTTCCGAAGAGTAGAGAGAGAGAGAGCGCTACCTGGAAATATGAGAAGATGAGTTGGAGATGGTGGAGGTGAGATCTAGATCTGTTAGTAACTTAGGTTAATTATACTTTCAACCCCAAACTATAATATAGATCTCGTTCTATCCCTCTATTATTCGTTGTCTTACATTATCCTCCAATTACCATACTAAAATCATCTCCAACGGCACTCTCTATTTTAGAGAGCATAGTTTTTCAAATAGAGAGCATCTATCATGAAAATTTAAAATAGAGAGTAAAATATTTTTGACAACTCTAATGGACTCTTTATTATAGAAAAAAAAATCTTATAGTCAATAACTTTTAATAAATATTGTATATGTGTCACATTGTCATTCATTAAAAATAGAATATACAGTGAGTTAGGCTCTCCAAATATAAAGAGTCAAATAAGACTCTCTATTTTTGCTAGTTTAAATCAAGAGTCAATTAGAACCTAATTTTTGGTGGTTGACTCTCTAAAATAAAGAGTTGAGTGAGATTAGAGAGTCTTATGAAGTTGTTCTAATTAGCTACTTGGGTTGGTTTGGTTCGATTGTTTAGCCACTTTTTTCAAGAAATGAGAATTTCAACAGAAAACATCACCTAAAAAAGCCTCATGTCCTGGTGGTCGCCATACTAATAATGACATTTGGCGATATATCACCACCATATTACTAAGATTTATCTTAAAATTGTGATTTCATATTTTCTTAAAGTCATCAACTAAAAGAATTTGAGACAAAATGAAATATTTTATCTTATCAAAATACCTTCACATATTCAATTTTGCAAAAGTTAGATTGTCAATAAAGCACGTGAATCTCATAAAAATTGGGACCTTTGTTGATCAAGTTCATATACATGCGATGATTGACAAATTTTTCCTTATCCTGGATTAGGCGAAGTGGTAATATGGTTAAATTAGCTAAATTTGCTTCAAATTATAATGATCTTTGTTGTTGAATAGAAGATTGTCCGGACTTTTTGTACTCCTTTCTCCAAGATGATTTATTTAGTTAGCTATTAATATATCAATTTTGTTATTTTTCTCAAAAAGAAAAAAAAACAACCTTCTACTATCTCTCAATCGAATGTAATTGAGAGATACAAAACATTAGTGACATGAGTAAATACTTACGATTGCTTGATACCAATATGAGTTGTATTTAATTTGACACCTTATGAGTCGATATCGTTCTACAATACGTATAAACCTCGAGTCTCACACAGCTCGACTAAGTCGATTGAGTTGTATTTGATTCAATCCCAAGTCGCCGAGTTATTGTCACTCGAATCAAGTCATACGATTTCGTGACGCCAAAATATGACCTGAATCTCTCGTCATATTCAACATTTTTTTTAGGTCGTATTATTCATTACCGTGACCTTGAACCATGGTCTTAACAAATAAGTTTCATTTTGTTTCAAAATTCATTAACACCTGTGTATTTTTTTTCATCAAAACCTAATGGACGGTCAACACTATTCAAATTATTAGAAGATAAATGTAAGATAATTGATAGTTGAGGGGCTATAATAAAATATAAATCATAATTTACAGAGGTCAAAAAGTATAATTAAACCACTTCTCTTTTTTCATTTGATGTTGCCACTATGAACTGTACGGAGGAAAGATACCCGTGGCGTAAAACGCACCCTGGGCACAATAGCGCTACTACCCCTGCAGTCTTCGGTGATGTTGGATAGTGGGTTAAGGACTTGTTTGTAATGTGTTTTGGGAGAAATTTGAATTGGTTTGTCCAAACTCTTCAAAACTCAAAGATGGGATTCAATATTTAATATTGTTTATACCTATGTTTAGTATGCAGAGGGATGTATAACTATTATGATAATATATTTGTTTATAAATGATTATTGTGTCCCTTAACTAATTTAATCCAAACATAAGTATAAATATATGGAGGGTATAAATATTATTTGAATATTAAACCCATTAACCCACACATATGTAACCCACTCCCATGGGTGTGTTTGGTATGTAGTATAAAGTGGGTTAACACCCATATGCATAGGCTAATAAAGTCATGGTCCCACAAAAATCTTGTTTGGGAAGGAAAAATTGGGTGAGGATATAAATCCCGGGTCAAACTTGGACCCGGATACTGCAGTGTTTTTTATTCAAGCTACACGGGTTATATGTAACCCGCCTCTTCCCTGGGTTACAAAGCTTGCCAGGAGGATAAGAGGCACAATGACATTTTTACCCTACATAGCCAAACTTTCCTATCCTTTTCACTTCGTCCAACCATTCGTCGGGATCCTTGGCTGAGAAACACCCAAGCAACGGCGACGATGAAGGCGAAGGGGAAGCTTCTCGGAGGTCTCTCGCTCTCTTTGTTCTCCGACGAAGGTCAGTGGCACATGTGTTCCCCCCCTCTGACGAATAGGTCTCTCTCTCTCTCTCTCTCGATCTGTATCAGTCAAGGTCTGCTAATTGGAGGGATACTCTGTTTTGTGTCATTGGTCCTGAGCCTCTTGATCCTCTAGAGCTTCCTGAGGTCTGCAGGATTGGTGGGTCTGTTGAGATGGTTTCTTGGGGTTTGGATTTGGGTTGGTTTGAGTCTGATGGCGGTGGTTTGGTGGAGTTGATGTCGTCTCCTGAAGCTCTTTTCCGAGCTGCCATGGCGGAAGAGTGTGAGCGTGTGTGTGTGCGCTCCCTCCCTCCCTCTCTCTCCTCTGTGGAATAAGCTTGAATTGAATGGAAAGCTGAGTTCTGTTCTCTCTCTCTCTCTCTCTCTCCGGCAGTGATGTGTAGAGGCCCAATTGCTTGAACATTTCTTGCATTCAAGCGCCTTTGAAGTTGGCAGCACGTGCTTCTAATGTCAAGGTCCAAACGGTGGCTGTCCTGGAATCTGCGGCAATGCAATTTGTCTTTGTTTAGGGACAGGCAACTTGCTTTATTCCACCCTTTCTACTTCTTAATTACTGCTTCACCCTCTAATTTCTTTCAGGTTCTTTTAACCTTTTGCATAGGAAAGATTTGTTTTGTTCTTATTTTGTCAGGTTGAAGTCGAGGTTCTGAATTGAGTACTATTTGAATTTAGTATGTTCTGAATGGTTTGTGAGTATGTTCTTGCATTCAACTTCAAAGACGCTTGAATGCAAGAAATGTTGAAGCCTAATAATTGAATGTGACTCTTTAATTATTGTGAATGCAGTTTGGGTCTTTGTGAGTGTCCATGGCTTTTCTTGGAAATATTGAGGAAGATTTAGCATCTTTTAACTGGGCTTATGAGTGTTAGATTGGGGCTTTTTGTCTCAATCTATCTACTATGTTGTTTTCTTAACAATAGTGTTGATTTGTTTGAAACAGACTTGAGGCTTAAGTCTGGAATGGGAAATGCTACTGCTGTCTTGATGGGTTTTAGCAAACTTTGTTGCTGTTAAAGGTTTTGGAGGATGCTGCCGAAGTCTTTTTTGACTGGTTTCTATGGATTTTTGTTTTTCCTTGTTATGAAAGGCGTCTGTGCCTTACAAATTGCTTCTTGAGTTATTGCTTTTTGGTTTTTTTGATAGGTGTCTGTGCCTTAGGTTGCTTTGGGTTTTCTTGTTTAGGCATCTGTGCCTTTCTTTTGCTTCTTGTAAATATTGCTTTGTTAATAAATAATTTTTTTTTTTAATAAAAAAACATAGTAGCGGATTGGTTTGAATTGAAATGGATAGAGTCATGGATAGAATGATAAATTATTACAAAATTATTTAAGTAACTTATGGGACCATTGAATTACATCTTTGTTTCCCAAACAAAGGTTATGATTTGATATATGGCTTGGATGAGTGAGTTTGACTTGAATAAGTTAAGATATAAAAAAATAAATCCTACCCTATCCAATCTTTTTACCCAAACACACCCCATGGTTTTCATGACCGGGTTGGATTTCAAACTCTGGGCTAAATGTATAGTTGTCAAACATAGATTTAAGGGATTAATTCTCCGACCCATGTTTCAAATAAGGGTGGTAAATGTTAACCCGATAGGATAATACGACATGAACACGATACAAATAACTGAGTTTGAGTTGATTATTTTTTACCACAATCCCATGTATGATGTGACCTGTCAACACGAAATGATAATGGGTTGTGTTTGGATTCAACCCGATCAACTTGAAGTGATCCAATTGACCCGTGTATTTAATCGGGTTGACATGAACCCGTGTAACCCATTTTCCACCCGGATAACCCGGCAGTATATAAATGCTTGGATCCCTAACCCTAACCCTGAATTCATTTCAGTATTTCAATTTTGAATTTTCACGTCTCCGCCTCTCTCTCGCCTCTCCATCCGCTAGCACATCCCTCACCGGTCCCCACCGCCTCCCTCACCAGTCACCGCCGCCTCCCTCTGTCTGGTCATCTAAGGTTAGCTCTCTCTCTCTCGATCGAACCACTGCGAACTAGTATAAGCAAAAATTTCTGCAATACTCTATGCTTTTCTAAAGTAGATTTCAGCCTTGGTATAAGGGTTTCAAAAGAAAAAATGGTAAAAATTGGTATAAGGGTTTTCAATAAGGGTTCAAATAGAAGACGACCCATTAACACGGGTCTGTGCCAAAAACATAAACTAAATAGAAGCTTATATTAGAAAATTATATGAGCAAATCTAAATGACAAAGAACTTGAATTGAACACGGGTTGATCATTGGACTTGTTGAAGCTTCACCACTTTCAACTTGCTGCAGTTCAAAATTAGTTGGTAAAGGTTTAAATTGCTTTTTTTTTTGTTGGTACAAGTTTAAATTAGTTATGGGCGGGTTGGGTCGTCTTTAATGGGACACGACTTGTGTAAAATCTTTGGTCACAGGTCGTGTCGGGTTAGCCGTGTTGTGTTTTGAATCAGGTCGTGTTCATATCAAGTAGAACCAACCCGTTTAACTCGTAGGTCGTGTTTGGGTTGACGTGTCTTCAACCCGAATCCGACGTGACACGACGCGATACGGCATGATTGCCACTTCTAGGTCTAAACCCCCCCAAAAAAACCCACATACCAAATAGGCCCTAAAGGTGGTTATCCACTTTTTGGATTGGATAAAATAGAAGTGGGACCCAGATAATCTTTGTTTGAGAAGTTATTTTTGAGATTTGATACAAATCTCGGGTCAAGGTTTGACCTGGTTGCTACAATACCATTTAACCCCGTAGGCTGGTCCAATATAACCCCCCAGGGTGTGTTTGGGTAGTGGAATAGAGTGGGTTAACACCCGCATGGATAGGTTAATAAAGTAATGAGTCCCACAAATCTTTTGTTTGGGAAGCAACATTTGAGTCTAGATACAAATCCCAGGTCTAGCCATGACCCGGTAGCTACAGTGTCTTGTATCCCTCATACACCGGTTAAAATTAACCCATTCTCCCCATGGGTTACAAACCCGGCAGGCAGGTTAAAAACATGTAAGACATTCTTACCCTTTTCTCAATCAATGTTCCACCCTTCACTTTCTTTTTTTCTTTTTTTTGGGTATACTGGAAAAATAAAAGACCTAAACTAAATAGAGTGCCTAGAGTAAAACACATTAGTCATATCTGCCATAAGAACATTACCCATTTGGGGTGGAGGATCCTGAAGCTCCACAAAAGCATCCGTCTGTTGGACCACAAGATTGACCACAAAATCAGCACATTGGTTTCCTTCTCTGTGGGTATGGAGAATGGGGATATGGTTAGATCCCATCATATCTCTGCAGCTCCGGATGATGGCTCTGCTTGGGCGGACCTCATCAGGATCAGATGACAGCAGCTTAACTGCCTTCAACGAGTCAGTTTCCACAACCACCTGGGTGATCTGAAGCCTTAGTAGAGGTTTCAGCCCTTTTAAAATCTCCCAAAGCTCCACTTGAATGCTCTTTGTGTCATTTATTCTCCCATAAAAGCCTATAATCCACTTGCCTTGGTCAGTTCTGATAATTCTTCTAACTCATGTCGGTCTAAGATTGCCTTTGGAGCATCCATCTGTGTTGGGCTTATTCCATCCTGCAGAAGGGAAAGACCATCCGATCAAATTAGATAAGGCCCTATCCTCAGCAAAATGAACAACCTGAAAAGCTTTGGTGGACTCCAGGGCAAGAAGCCATGCTTCCCTCGCAACAATTCTTTTTTTTGGGGGGGAGGGGGAAGCAATTGTGGAGATGCTTTGTCGATTTCTGTCTTTCCATGTGCTCCAAACAATACATGTCCAAAGCACAGACCATTTGACACCTTTCCACTATTTTTTTTGGGGGGAGAGGGAAGCAATTGTGGAGATGCTTTGTCGATTTCTGTCTTTCCATGTGCTCCAGACAATACATGTCCAAAGCACAGGCCATTTGACACCTTTCCACTCTTTTGCCTTTCTCTTCTTACAATTCAGATTCAACCAATAATGCAAATCCCCCAATTGGTCAACTTCACTTTCCTGATTAATCAGAAACAACTTCCAAATATTTTGTGCTTTTGGGCAATCCCGAGTAATATGCGAGGTGGATTCATACAAATCATTACATCTACAACAAGATGCATCGTTGGTCATATTCCTTGATGCCCTGAGACTATTAGATAGAATTCTATCATGTTGGACAAGCCATAAGAAGAAATTAAGCTTTTGAGGGAGTTTCAATTTTCAGATCCATCTCCGATCCAAGTTTGGTGGGTACCTGACTTCAGAGGGCCCAGTTAAAAGGTTAAAGGCAGCCTTAGTTGAAAACTTGTCATTATTTGAATACCCCCAACAAAGAGTATCCTGAAAGTCACCAGACCTAGGAATAGAAGTATGTAAGATATCAAAACATAAAGAATGAGGGAGGAATGAAACATCTTCCTGGAGATTCCAGTTGTCATCCTCATCAATGAAATCTGCCACCCTTCTGTTAAGATTCAAAGCAGGAGAAACAATAACCTGATCAACAAGTGAGCCTTTACCAATCTACCAATTAATCTAGAAATTAGTATGGGACCCATCCCCAATTAACCATTTTGACCCCATGTCCTAAACTTTTAGTCCTAGCAATAGCTTTCCATGTGGAAGAACTCACTGCCTTAGCTTTCCAGAATTACTCATCATGACCAACATATTTGCTCATAACAAAATCAACCCAAAGGGCTTTTTCTTTATTTTTCAATTTCCAACCCAATTTGGATAAGAGTGCCACATTGTTATCCCTACTTTTTATTATTCCCAGCCTTCCTTTTTCCCTAGGGGTACAAACATTGTTCCAGTTAATAAGATGGAATTTCTTTTTGTCAGGTGTGTCACCCTAAAGAAAGTCCCTATTAAGCCTATCCAGCTGGTCACATGTTGATTGTGGAAGTCAATTAGTTTGCATGACATAATTAGGGAGCGTAGAAGTAACAACTTTAACAAGTGTGACTCTACCAGCTAAGGACAAAGTTTTTGCCTTCCAGCCACTAAGTCTACTATGAGTTTTTTCAATAATAAATTTGAAATGGTCCTTGGAAGATCTTTTATGCATAATTGGAATATCTAGGTATTTTCCTAGATCCTCCGTGGGTGTGATTCCACACATCCTACTTAGGTAGAGTGCATGACTTCTACAAATGTTGGATGAAAAGAAAAGTTTTGACTTGTTAAGATTCACTCTTAGGCCTAACATAGAACATAAATCATCCAATACATCCTTAATCATGAGG